GCTGCTGCACTCGCCAGATGTGAGCCCCTCTCAGGGCTTCTGGCTGAGCAGCACTCCCACTGTGGGAGTGCACTGATCACCCGGGGGCAACTCCCATGTTGACTGTATGCCCCCTGGTGGTCAGTGCACATCATAGCGACCAGTCATTTCATCGATTTGCATATTAGCCTTTTATAAATGTTGATAATGCAGTGATTGTTATGACTTTAAAGTATAAACAAATATACATACCTTACAGTATCTATATATATAAAAGGCTAAGCAACCGACCATCAACTATGACACGCACTGACCACCAGGGAGCAGACGCTCAAGGCAGGAGCTGCCGAGCTATGGTGAACCACCCTCTGGTACTCCTCAGGGGATGTCAAAGCCGATTTCGGCCTGATCCCTGTAGGCCAGGCCGAGGGACCCAACTCCACATATGCCCTTGGAACTGGCCCAGGTGCAGCTGGCCCATCTCGCCCAGTCCAACCCTTTCGGCCACTTTCTAATTAATTTCCTTTCAATGTGCACAAATCCATGATTGGGGCCACTAGTTTAGTAAAAATAACAAAAAAGAAAATTATACTTCTAATTATTATAGTAATATACATAGTTCCCAATAATTGTATGTTACTAAAGCTTAGTCCCTACAAAAAACATATTCTGGACTTATTCTTGTTTGATCATATAAATAACAGCATGCTGGATATGTATATCTGTATTTTCACAAGAGGAAACTGCTAATAACTATCTGTCAAATAGAAATGATCTATGGAGTGACAATGCAAATGATACTTTACTAGGATACACTTGGAAAGGGTAATACCTAAAACAAGGCAAATAAATTTCAAAGGAAAAGTGGATAGCTATATTTCAAGAGTAGCAATTTTAGCTTTGTGCATAGAGACAAGCAGAGTAAGTGGTAGAGAATTATGTCGCATGGCAATCCATTCATAAAATGTATTGATTTACAACTCAGTCTATGCTTCCTGCAGAATGTGACTCTTAGCATTAATCAGGCTCCCAAACCCAGCTTACCTGAATCTGTTCATTCTCAGCCGATCATATTCCATAGCTAATTGCTAAACGTAGTTACTTTTCTTGATATGACACTTTCCAGCACAATGCATTTATCTGCTATTTGAAAATATATGTATATGTATTGATTATACAGAGAGATAGAAACATTGATTTGTTGTTCCACTTATGCATTTATTGGTTGATACTTGCATGTGCCCTGACAGGGGATCGAACCCATAACCTTGGCATATCAGGATGATGCTCTAACCAACTGAGCTACCCAACTGGACTTCTACCTGCTATTTTAAAACAAAATATAATTGTATCACATTGATATTTTGGATTGAAGAAATATTTTCTGAGTATAGTATTTCTCTTTTGATGCTAAGTGTCTTAATGGTAAATCTGATTAAATCAGTTGCAGCTCACTTGGCTATGAAGTCACTATTTAAAAGAAATGTGTGAGATTTAAATTTTTCAAATTATCACACAGATATTATTGTTCATAACTGACATTTTCTAATTCCAATTATGCCATTATCAAGCCTCCACTCAGTGTGATCCCATTATCCTGCATTTATTTTTCAAAAGCTTTCTGATATTAAATTAAATCATAGATATCAATCACATTACATATTTTGAAGTAATAAAACAGAATTTCATACTTACCTTTAAAAGTATTATTATGTTCATTTTACTGAGTTCTATGAGCTTTATTATATGGTCTTTTACACTTTGAACTCAATTTTGAGTTTTCAAATTCTCCATATTTTGTCTTAATGTTTTGCAGTTATTTCCACTACTGTCATTCAGTATTATAATCAAACTACTTACCATTATTCATGCATTAAGAATGAGCGATTAATATCAGCTACCGTCAGTGGTAGTGGATGCCTAGCTTGCTACAATGAGAAGGACTATAAGACTGCATTCAGTTCTAGTGAAGGAGGTTGTTGTAATTAATGTTACTGTATGAAGAGCCCAGGGTACAAAAGGTGTATTCATCAATGATATTCCTGTAAATGAGTACTTGAAAATGTGGGGTTTGCAACCTGTGTCCCCATTCCACTCTTGTGGGGTGGCTAAAAATTAAGCATCCAATAAGGACCGGTTCAAATTAATGCCTATCGTGAAGTATATTTTACTCTCCTGGAATTCCTAGAGCATGTGCTAATTTGACTTTTTCTTATCATCTGTCCTGGTTTCTAATTTTTAAAAGCCAACAATAAAGATGCTTTTACATGTTTGCCTGTTCAAGGGACCGAAGTAGGCTAGTATTGTGGATTAACAAAAGGTGAAAGGATGAAATGTCGATGATGCCATTGGGAGGTAGAGAGGGAATTACTTAAAGTATAAGAGTAGCACTTTTTAAACTAATGGCACACACAAACAAATTACTAAACTTCTACAGCACACCAAAAAATATGTATTTTTGATTCGTTTATCCCAGGCTGCTATTGTTGTGATGGCTGTTACCAATTTTTTATTTGACAATCTAAGGGACAAAGGGTCAGGGGCCCTGACTAAACAGTCAGGTATTGCATGTTTTAAAATTTTTGTGGCACACAGGTTGAAAATTGCTGTACTAGAGGCTTATACACATCTATAGGTAGATTTGTGCTGAGAAATGGCATAATCTGATTTGTAGTTTCAAAAGATAATTAATTCTAGCTGCTTTGGACAAAACGGGATATGTTGTTTCAGGACTCTATAACCAGATTTTAAGTTTTCTAATTTAAAATATGTTTTTCTGGTTCTAGACATTGAAGAGAACTCTTCCAAAACACTAAGCAGTCCACAAAGTTATTGAAACAGACTTCAATGACCACATACAAAAAATGTTCCAATCAATACACAAATTGATAAAGAAGATGTGATACATATAAGAAATGGAATATTGCTCAACCATAAAAAAAAGAAATCTTACCATTTGTGACAACATGGGTAGATCTGAGCTTATTATGCTAAGTGAAACAAGTCAGAGAAAGACAAATGCTTTCCAATATAACTTAAATGTGGAATCTATAGGATAATGAATGAACAAACTGATACAGAGACCACCAATATTTGCCATAAATTCTTCCAAATTCTTTATAAAAGCCATCTTTTGTTTCGAACCAGCGTACGAGGGGTGCTGCTTGCAGTGAGCTGGTTGAAGGCATCTGCTAATCTCTGGTAAATAACTGGGTCTTGTTGACTTGACAGCAATGTTTCAACCAATAAGAGTACTCGGCGTATTTTCCTAGTAAGAACAGGAAACCAAATGTCAGAAAGGCCCCTTCCTGGGATGGGCATCATCTCAGGAAGTGAACTTCTGAACACCTGGTGCAGGCACACCAATGTGCAGAACGCCTCCCCGGCTGCTGTCGTCATCTCAGTGTTGTGCTTCTGCAGAACCAGCATATCAAAATCCAGCTTCAGAAAGTGCCGTGTCGCTAGAAGCAGTGGTGAGTCTGTATCTTGAGCTTTTGCACACTGTTCCGCCAATGGTGTCGGGGACTCCAGGCACAGCTGGCAAACCTCCGAGCTCATTGAAGTCATTCCCAGTTCTAGAGAGCACATCAGACTTTTAAAAAGGTCTTCAGGAAGCTGTGGTATTTTTTCAGGAAAAATCTCACAAATAAATGTAATTAATTTGTAGTATTGATTACAAAGTGTTGGAAACTTCAAAAGATCTTGTGACATCAGGGCAGAATTAGGTTGACTCCATATAAAACAACATCCGCTGCTGACACAGACCTGCTTGCTGCTTGCCCTGGCTCATGTCCCTTAAACACTTTATCTGTATCACTGAAGTCTATGAACTCTTTTGACAGAAGGTTTGTAAGAAGTTCCATAATAAGTACATCCTGATATTGTTCCTCCTCCGCTGTGACATCCACTCTCTGCCTCCCCAAATTATTCTTAGAATATTCTTGCAACAAATTGAGGCAGGCTTCATATAAGTTCATCGCTTTGGACTCTCCAAGATAACGTATCTGTTTATGTGCAACTTCAACAAAACTTCTATGATGAGATTGAGAGTCTCGGGGTTATTTTTGTAAACTTCCATCAATCCAATGCAATTGGTAAGGAAGTCCATTAAGAATTAAAAAGGATGGCGACGTTGTCCATCTGGGTAGCCTCGGCAATGCCACATGGGGCCTCTAGCGTGGCAGTGGTTTCCTGCTTGACCTCCTCTTGCTGGCACATCTGCTGAAAGTTTTCCTGATTTATCACCCTTAAGAATCGCTGCTGCGATAGCTGAAGAACCTCAGGCCAATACTGTTGTTTGGTTTCTGTGTCCATCTGTGCAAAACCTCCCAGGACAAGGGCCTTCATCAGCGTCCTCTGCACCGGACTGGACAGAAAATTCAGAGGAGGGCTTCGGGTGGCAAACTGTTTAGCTAAATTCCACCAGTTTTCACACTGGATTACTAGGTTTGCCCTTTCTCTTCTTTCCACCAAAGTGACAAGGAGCTGCACAGCGTCACTTGCAAGGTCCTGCTCACTGCTCCACACCGAGAGGCTGCTGATGACTTTCTGTAAGAGGCAGCCAGTAATCCACTGAGAACCCTCAGCATCTGCTCCAAATGCTGTACTGAATGGTAGACTTATCTGATCAGATAGCTTCTCATCCACCAGGAGATAAGTCTTTGCCCAGTGTTTTAGAAACCAAACAATATCTTTGCCCATTTGAGGGCTTAGCAGGTCAGTGAGATCAGCTCTTACTGCTCGAGACTCAACTTCCGAGACTCTGAGAACAGCAGATGACAGCCCACTCACAGAATCTGTTCTGTTGTACCCTGGGGTGGGAGAAGCCTTTTCTCCTGGAGATCCCAAAATTTGAAGTGTTGTATTACTGTCAACTTCAGATGAATGCTTCATGGAATATTCCATTATTTCTGGAGGTGTTAGCAGAGTCGCTCCCCGAGTATCAACAGCTAAGAGGAAGCCTGTAACTAAAATAAGCCGGTGAATATCTCCATGTAGCTCATCAAGTATTTTGCTGGCAATGGTGCTTGAACCAGGTGAAGCAAGTAACTGCTGCTGATGTCGCTGTAACTGACCGTGGAGCCTTGTTACTCTTTCTTCTAATAAACTTGTCAGAAGAGGTATACAGTGCTCTGCGGCAATTCTTCCTAGCATTCCTACACTGGCATGCTAGCATTCCAGTGGTAGAGACACACCCAGAACACATCATTTAAACCTAAGTAAAAAATAGATCCATGCATCCTCTACACTGGCTAGTTGATCTGAAAACTGGTCTCGGTCATCTTCTTGAAGTTCACTTATTTCCTCTTCCTCACGAGAGGTCACACCATTGGCAGTCAAATTCCTTGTGCCACCTGGAGCGGCCAGGTGGCACTGAATATAGGAATTGAAGACTTGAACTGCATGCTGGGTAAAAAAGCCTTTATGGAAATGTTTGTCATCTTGGACCAAAGTCAGCCAGGACTCCAGCAACTTGTCATATGCTTCCATGTAGACCATGTCATCTTTATCAAACACTTCTTCCAAAGCAGCACTACGCCCAAAAGAACAAGTGAGGTGTGTGAGGCAGTTCACAAAGGATGAGGAAAGCTCACTTGGAATGGCAGTTAAGACATTTCGAGGGAACACAGTTAGCAGGTTGCTGATAATGCTGGCGATCCCCACAGCCTCAGAATCTTCTATTTCAATGCCATGGATAGTACTCAGTAAACCCTCAATGAAGTGTGCCGGGTAGTCAACCTGTGCTGCTTCATCGGGAAGACAGGTCCATGCAAAGAAGCTAACTGGGCGAGGCACTGCAGAGAATCTGGTGCCATATCCGAATCTTCTCTGATATTCCGAGGTACTGTAAAGAAAAGCTCCAGGACTCTGCTGTCCAGAAGGGCCTTCCGCCAGAACTCTGTTGGCCTTAACAGCACATTTTGTGAGGATTCAAACATGGCTATATAATGTCTGCCCAAATTTGGAGGAAGAAAGTTCCAGCTCGACCTGATTGGCGAGTGAGAGGTAGCGCTGAAACACTGAGGACATCTGAGCACTGAGGTTTTCCCGCCTGCTGAACGCCTGCAAAACTTCCAGGGTTAACACGAAGATCTGACGAAGGTCTTCTTCCTGGAAAACTCTTTTGCTGTTGCCATGGAATTCCATGCTCTGTCTGATGTTGCTGGTTTTACTTGAACTTGAGAATTCACTCAATAGTGCAGTCAGAAGAGAACAGGCCAGAGTTTGCACAGTGGGATTGCCACTACTGGTCAACTGGCTGACTTCATGAAAAATGCTCTTGCAGTCAATTGACTTATCTAGTGAGCCTCGTTTTACAATCACTGCTACTGCTAAGAGAATCTGTTCCCGAACATACTTTTGGAGGTTGGGCCTCTGTAAGACGTAAGTTAAAAGGAACGTTCGCAGTGACTCAATGCTTCCCTTTTCCAAGAGAATCCACTCTCGGACCACTGCCTCCATGATGGCCGTGGCAGCTTGAAAGAGGACATAGTCCACCTTGCTTGTTTCCAAAATATGCTTGCAAACTGCAAATGGTGACTTTGATTTCCTAAGTGATAAGAATATGTGCTCTGCATGCTGCCATTGTTCATTGCTGACCATGGAAGGAGGTGCCATGAGAACTTTGGCCGCTTTCTCCAGCTGGGCGATCACTTCTGGGGGCCCGAGTGCTGCCGCCATCATGGTCTCTCTCAAATCCTAATTTTTTTAAAATTTAGAGTTTACAAAAGAACATAGGAGATTGTATTAAGTATATCTAATTTCCTTTGTTTGAACATAACTATGTAGTTTAAGGCCATTAAACTGAACAAACAACTAAATTAAAAAATGTAAAGGCTAAATCATACAGTGATAATCATTAAAATAGATTTTTAACTACTAAGATACAGTGTGTCACCTCAAATGGATGTGTTCCAAAGCCTGAAGCTACCTGTTTCAAGCAGTATGTCTCTGTGTCTATTATTTTGAAGATGCTTTGCATGTGAAATCCAAAACCAGAAAGCATTGTAGTGAAGAAGAACATTTATTTGGAGCAGAAGCTGACAGGATCAGGCTTCTAAAC